AGCTTTTACCTCCTTCAGTCACACTGTGTATTCAGATTCATACCTCCTGCACAAGCTGTCACTCGACCACCCTCTGTCCCCAGAGCCTCACTCTCAGGACACCTCTCACATAGCTCCAAACTCAGCATGCCCCACCTGCAAGTGTGTGTCTACCACAGAGGTTCGGTCTTGAAATCAGATTCCAACAACTGTGTTCAATGAAAAGAACACAGAGTTAAATAACTGAGGTCTAGGTCAGAGAGGGGGACTCAAGGACAAGACCCTGGGACATTTGGGTGGATGCCCCCATTGTGTACCAGGGTGGCACCCCCTCAATATCCTTATCCCCTTGCTTCTCAGGGAAAATAAATCCAACTCTTCTGTAACCACAGTTTTTCTGCTCTTCACAACCCAGAATATCACAGAATACCACTATATTATAATAACCACTTAAAAACTTTCCTTCAGGGGCAAGAATAGGCTGGGAAGAGAGGGGAAGGGAAGATGGTAATAATTGTCGCTCTCTGCCCTCTACAATCCAAGCCCCTTTCCCCTAGTGTCAAGGCTCGTGTCAAGGTTGAGACCAAGACACTTTGGTGTCATCAGTGAAAATCTCTGTCCAAATAGGAGAGGCTCCCCAATTCTCTTTATCTCTTTGATATTCATTAACTAATAAATTAATTGCAGCCTTATGAATTGATATTAGAAAAAGTGCCTTATTTGAAAGAGATATCTAAGAATTCAGATATTGGTCACATTTATGCATATTTGGGCGAAGTAAAACTTGAAAAATCTGAATCAGGACACATAAATCAGGACCCCTCATTTCAGTTGTGAAATTAACATACTCTGTGATGTAGATGACATCAGTTTACTTCTCTGGACCTTGTCTTCCTATTGATTAAGAGTGCCAATGATAATTGCACTCTATTTTCTCCAGAAGGTTGTTAGATAATAAAGAGGTTGCAAAAAAATGGGGGTGATTATTTGTGGTGCCTATATTTTTAATTTCATGAATATTACTTTTTTCACAACCGTAAGTTTTTTGAGGATAGAAATCGCATGATGCCATTTCAAATTTAGTGATAAAAAAAGAAGGCCTGAAAATGTTGTGGATTATTCCAATGCCACATAATGAGCAGATACAAAACAGAGAATGACTATTGAGTCATTAATTTTTCTAAATTAAGACAACCCAAAGAAGAAGAATATTTCTTCAGTGTCACAATCAATTCTGTTAGAGAATTGGGACTAAAATTCAAGTTTCTCAGAATCCTGTACAGATTTCTTTTTAGTAGACAATGTTTTACTAAGGGAAAATGTTTGAAAATACCAGCTAGACTTCTACAACAAAAACAAATTCCCTTTCCAAAATATCTTCACTGTGAGCAACACCAGGACACTCCATTTTCTCCCCTGATGTGCTTCTGTCAGCACTTGGTCTTCTGATCTAGCCTCAGTATCCAGTCGTTACACTGGGGGTCACACAAGACCTCAGGTTGGCTTTGCCACAGTAGGGAGTGCTGTCTCTCAGCTGGAATGTCTCATGTATCTCTGTCTTTCTTCTACTGTATCCTCGGGAATACTCAGCACACTGTAGATAATCAGGAGATATGGAAGCACAATCAGGTGGACTAGCCTTTTTCTAGACATTCCAGGTAAGATATAAAATGAAGTTATGCACTGTATATTTATGAAGATACATACAAATGCAGAAAATACAGTGATTGCATTATTATATCATGAAGTCAAAAAGTCAATGATATGTTAGTAAAGTTAATGGAATTGAGTCTTAAGTTGACGATTTACAAAATGTCTACATCAGGACTCAGTCATGGTCAGTGTAGAGTATACAATTGCATAAAGGCATAGTCTCAGCCATTGGGATTTTGTAAAGTAGTTGAAGGATAAAAAATAATAATAAAAGATCATTAAGGACCAGAAGAAAGGAAAGTCTTCTGGGAGGCAGAAAAACTAACTGAAGCTTAGAAAAAAGAGAAAAAAGATTAGAAAGGAGGGGGAAAATGAAGACAAAAGATTCTATAAGCATGAATGAAAGAGAGAAGGAATATTCCTCAATATGAGTGGACTAGACTAATAAATGATGGACAGGATGTGTAGCAGGTAAGTTGTGAAGGATCATATTGGAAAGATGCTTAAATGTTTGGTGCTTGGAATATAGAACTATAAACATCATGGATGGGTACAGGAATTAGCATAAAGAAAAACAAGACTATATGTGATAGCATATTTCAAGACTCTTGAACAAGTTAATAATAATAAATATTTTTCTCCACCTAAAAAGATGATTTCACAGAAAGTTCATCATTTTATGTGAATGACCCAACAACCTGATATTACAGGGCCAGAATACCATGACCCCTTGGATAGAGGCATTTATTTCCAAGCAGAATGTCAGCTTCCAACATCAGTGATGACAG